CATCCTAAATATTAACTATCTTATATCAATTTGTAGCTCATGTTACGATCTACAACTTTACTTAGAACATCAACAAATATTTACTTGAACTCAAACTGAACTTTTTGTCAGATTTGAGTCTGGTTCGAAATTCGAACTGAACTCGAACCAGACTTTTAATTAGGTTCGAATTTTTGAACCAGACTTTTTGTCAGGTTTGAGTCTGGTTCAAGCTCGAACTGAACCAGACTCAAACTGAACCAGATTTTTTTTCGGAACCCTATGATATACTGATTACCAAATTTAATTAGTGTCTCTTATATTTTATATATCTGTGTGAAAAATATCTCAAAAACAAATATATAACATTATTTTTTTATTTTGTCAACTTTATTATTTATACTTATCACAAAACTAAAATATTATGTTATACTTTTTACAAATAAAGATATCGATAATCTGATTTAAATAATTAACTCAAAACATATATGTCTATAATATGAGATTTTAACTCTATATATTTTTTGTTCTTGTACATATGCTATTTTTTTCTTTGCTATAATATGAAAGAAAATAACAAAAAGTGATAAAAGAAAAATATAATGAACTTTTTGTTTATATCCAAATAATTTATCATGAAATATATACATATTTTTTGTTCTCATACATATATCAACTTCTTAATTTATGAGTTGAAATACTAAAAAAAAATAATGAGAAGCATTAAAAAGATAGTATAATGCTATTAAAAGCTTTAATTATATCTTTACTATAATATTACCTATATACAATTAAAATTTTTTTTATACTTTTCTAATATTTACTAAATATATCTATTGATTTACAAATAAAAGTTTATAATTTCTTGATTAATACAGAAGAAAACCATATAATCACTGAATTTATTATTTACCAAGTTATAAAAGATGATATTTGATTAGAAAAAAATGAGTTAAGAGATATTATAGAACAAATAATATTATTTGCTAATATTCAAAATATTTGAAATTCTTTATGTTACTTGATACTTCTTAAAATTCTACTTGAAATGTGTTATTTAACTTTTATTAATAAATAGATTAATATCAAATAATGAATAATGCAGACAGTAATACCATTCTAAGTAAAAAATATAATAATTTAAATATTTTATTAGTTCACTCACAAGAAAAATCCTCAGCAGTGTGAAAATTATTTAGACTAAATATATATTTTATTCTATGTAATTAATTTAATATTACATAAAATCTTATTTGCGTGTTAAAGTAACTAATCATACAAAAATATAACTTTATTTATATTCTAACAATGCATGTATTTTTTTAGTGAAGTTAGTATAGAATGCTAATAATTATTATTAAATTTAATTAACTAATAATTATATTAGTTCAAAATTTCTTATAAAACAATTTGTAATTTATATATTATTGGAGCAATAAAAACAAATAAAGAAAGATCTTTTAGTTCTGATCAAATTGAAAAAACTATCAAAGCGCTAAAAGAAAAAACTCTATATAACTTTATTAATATTTGTTTTTCAGTATAAATAAAGTATCTATTTCTGAGTTGATCTGGAAGAATCCTTTGATTAGTCAAGTAATCAGATTTGATATTGAATTTATCTATATAATTAAGAAATTCTTTATGATAAGTATTTTTTTATAAAATTAATGAGATTCATATTCTAATATATTACATTATTAGAAATCAATATGACAAATGATACCTCTATTCCTTTTACCTATTATACAAGAAAAATGTAATGAATACATAGAAAATTTTATTGGAAGAGATATAGATTGTTTATCATGAAAGTTGATACATAATGAAAAGTGAAAAGAAATGAATAATGAGCTTGCAGAGGTAGGTAGCATCAAGAATTTTGAGTACTTTGAATGATATATAGAATAATCAAGCATTTGATCCTGAATTTGCAAAATTACAAAATGAAAGTACTTATATAAATAATATAATATTATTAGCTATACAGAATAACCTTTAGAACTTTGACCATCACAAAAGTTACCTAGCGATAGTATAAATCAATTTCTGTGCTGATATATTATACAAACCTTGTAATTCGATTATTTATTCGAATAAAATAAAATGAATTTATGATCCTGCCTGATTTTCGGATTATTTGTGTTCGGGGGAAATTATCACGTTTTAAGCATTACGTTTAAATATATTTCTTTCAAAATTTAAAATACAAGAGAATAACGCGAAACTTTCTTTGCGATTTACTAAAATCTGTACAAGCTCACCTTTTTCTTAAATGAGATCCAGAAATGGAATCCATTTAACGTTAACAGAAACAATGCTTTTCTGTTTTTGATAGATAATTCGAATCTGAATGGTAGGGATTCACATTAGAGTGCATCAAGAAATAGGCAAACTTTTCATTTTTTTATTGGCATTCGTCGAAACATCTACATAATTTAACAGAATCAAAAAAATAAACTAAATCGATTCTATAAATTTCGCCATAATAAAACTAACAATAATAAAACTAATAATAATAATAATAATCATTATCATCATCATCATCATCAAAATAACAATACGTAGTTCTGAATTTCTATAATTTGTCGCTACATCTCTCACCAAACTGAAAGGGTGCACAATTTTCGAATGTTTATAATAAATAATTGTAATAAATAATTTCGCAGCTAGCATTTGTTTAATATACTCTTGCTTTTGGAGGAACCTGTTAGATATATCGACGTAGAAAAAAATCATACTTAGAATTCATAAACTCAAATGTTAAAAGAAAAAAATTTGAAGACTGCATACCGCTTGACATTCTTTCTCGTCCAAAGTTTTCGAAGTCACAGCCCGATATTTCAGATCGACTTTTCCTGTTTCATGATCTTGCCAAGAGAGAGTGTGTTTCATCCATTCCTTATCATTTCGATCCTGCAACAAAATCACCGTGAATAAAATAGTAAAATCGATGAGAAAAAAGTTTATTTTACAAACCTTAAAATCTTCTCTTGCATGTGCTCCACGAGATTCCTTACGAGCCAAAGCAGAGTTCATGGTCTGAGTTGCATTTGTCAAAAGATTTTGTAGTTCCCAAGTCTCAATCAAATCCGAATTCCATATCATGGATCTATCCGAGACCTTTACTTGGTCAAATGACTTGAATATCTTTGTGATGCTTGTCACTCCTTACAAGATTAAAATAAAGTAATATTTATAGATAATATAGTCAAATAAATTCGTATTAATACGTCCAACTATGAAATAAAAAAGTAGAAAGATCAATTTACCTTCATCCAAAGACTGCTGTGTACGGAATACAGCAGCGTCTCTTTGCATGGCTTTTTGCATGTTTGTACGGATTTCAGCAGTAGGTTGCGTTCCATTAGCATTACGCAGTTTATCAAGATTTGCTATAGTTTTCGCTCCTGTATCTGGTGCAAGAGCTTTATGAGGGGTACCAGCTTCTAATGTGTCTTTGATATGGTGTGCGGCCGCGCGTCCAAATACCACAATATCTAGAAGAGAATTGGCGCCAAGTCGATTTGCACCGTGGACTGATACACATGCAGCTTCTCCAGCGGCGTATAGACCGGGCACAACTACATCATTTCCGTTCTAAATAATAATATATAAACAATCATGTAAATGTCTTTTATCGAATGTCATAGTGATAAGGATATCTACCTTGTCTTGAGTCAACACTTCACCAGTGTAACGTGTGGGTATGCCTCCCATATTATAATGAACAGTCGGAAGTACAGGAATGGCTTCCTTGGTGACATCAACCCCGGCAAAAATAGCCGCAGTTTCCGAGATACCAGGTAACCGTTCATGTAACACATCCGGAGGTAAATGTGATAGTTGTAAAAGAATGTGATCTTGTTCTTCACCAATACCGCGACCTTCACGAATTTCCATCGTCATAGAACGTGAAACTACATCACGTGAAGCCAAATCTTTTGCGGTAGGAGCGTAACGTTCCATGAAACGTTCACCCTTAGAGTTTAGTAAATAACCACCTTCACCACGAGCACCTTCGGTAATCAGACATCCAGCACCATAAATTCCAGTAGGATGGAATTGTACAAATTCCATATCCTGAAGAGGAAGACCTGCACGAGCGACCATAGCATTTCCATCTCCGGTACACGTGTGTGCACTTGTGCAAGAGAAATAGGCGCGTCCATATCCTCCCGTAGCTAATACTGTTTTATGTGCTCGGAAACGATGCAAGGTTCCATCTTCCTGACTTAAGGCAATCACGCCACGACACACACCATCTTCCATCAAAAGATCCAACGCGAAATATTCAATAAAGAAATTTGTATTATGCTTAAGAGATTGTCCATAAAGTGTGTGAAGGAGAGCATGACCAGTACGATCAGCAACAGCAGCGCATCGATAAGCTTGGCCACCTAAATATATTAAACAACAGCCAACATATAAGTTATTGAATATGAGTAAAAAAATAAAATCAATCCAAAAAAGGAAAGCGTATGATGATGATGATGATGATGATGATGATGATGATGATGATGATGATACCTTGACCAAAGTTTAGACTTTGACCACCAAAAGCTCTCTGATAAATTTTACCCTCTTCAGTTCTTGAAAAAGGCACACCATAATGTTCAAGCTCTATCACAGTACGAGGAGCTTCACGACACATATAATGAATGGCATCTTGATCGCCAAGCCAATCGCTACCTTTTACCGTGTCATACATATGCCATCGCCAATCATCCTCAGTCATATTTCCAAGAGCAGCATTGATACCACCCTGTGTAGTTTGCATTCATTATTGTTAGTATCAAGCTTTCTTTATAGTGTAAACAAGCAATTTGAATGATAATAAATACTTGTGCTGCTACAGTATGTGATCTAGTAGGAAAAAGTTTTGTAATACACGCTGTATTGAATCCTGCTTCTGCGAGACCAAATGCTGCTCGAAGACCAGCGCCACCAGCACCCACAACTATGGCATCGTATGTATGGTCAATGACTGTATATTTGCTGCTTACATGTGACTATTACAAAAATCATAAATAAATAACAATTCGACAAGATAATCTGTATATGCATTCGTCATTCGGCTATTTAGTGAGTTTTGAGTTCGGAGACCCGAGCAAAAAAAACAAATATGTTGCTATAAATGAGTATACAAAAATAGACATATATGTATATTTACTGGTGCTTCTTTAGCTCGCAATGGTTCTGTAGCAACGATTCTTGCAGCAGGCTTAGAAGCATGGAAAGCTCGTAATAATGCGGGAGTAGAAGAATTCTAATTTCATGTGAAAGAATTAGGTTGTTCTGGTCAGACTGGTGGTTTAATTTATCAATTTCAAAGTTAACTAGCGATGAAATCTCCATACGCACGCGTACAAATTTACTTTGCCGAGCACCCGTTATTAACGTTCGAAACATTAGAGACTATCAAACTTTTTTTTTCGTAATTCAAAAAAGGACAGAGAACAAGAAAAGGAAAAAAAGCTGATTTCGAATGTAGATTTTCATAATCTTTTTCGTCGAAAAGATCGTACGTGAAGGAAGATCTTGTGTGTGTCATTCTTTATTGATGTTTTGTGTCCAATAGTATTCTGTATGTTTTGTGCCATGTATGCTTTTTTTGGAGTGTGTACGAGTGAACATGCATTCATTATAATCAATAGAATCATGGTGTTTGATAATTTTATTTGGTTATTTCTAAAGTAAATAATTTTTCAATTTGATACCAATCAAAATAATAATATTGTTATAAAAAATACATGGTAAATTAATTCTATGGACACCCTGCCTCCTGTTCTAAGAAAAAGTCTCACACGAGACGTATCGTTTTTTAATTATATTATTATTATCCCAACTTGTGTATGTATAAATGTTAACAGACAACAGAAAATAGAAAGGTCATTATTATTCTAATTAATATTATTGTTGTGTAATTATTCCAATATCACCAACATCTACCGCTACCACCCACCACGAAGGGCTAGCACCAAATGTAGAACGGAACCGCCTTCTATGCTATACTCGCTGGCCGTCTTTTCGTCGGCCCTATTTTTTAGTTGTGTTTTATTGATCGAATGATTGATTGATCGATTGATTGATTGATCGAGTAGGTGGTTAATTATAATATTTTAGAGATGAGAAAGTTTGAAACTGGAATAAAGAAATGAGGATTCTTGAATCCGATTCAGAATTAAAAACCCACAAAATCTTTTTTCGAATACATTTTAACAAAATAAATGCTAGCGAGGGCTCAGCGGAAAAAAATTGAATGAAAAATCAAAATTAATTTACATTTGTTTTCCACCGAAAATTAAACGTTGCTGTGCAGGTGGTATTCCTTCTTTCTCTTCAACACGTTCTTTGATCCGTGTAATCTATCGGATAGACAGATTATTAATATTTCGAATAATAATTAAACCGCAGAAAATTAATATTGAAAGTATATAAAACGTCTCTTGTCCACTCACACCCACATCATGCACGAAGAGACACACTTACTTTATCGGTCGGCTCTATGTCAATTTCAATCTACAACGACAAAAAGAATTAAACGTTAAAACAAAGAACAAATGGCAAAAAAACCACGAGCAGAAAATAAAACATTAATTTCTTTGGTAGATAAAGATAATTTCACTTACTTCTTTCCCGGTAAGAGTCTACAAATGTTTTTGCGCGTATATAAAAGAGAACAATCCGTCAATGTTAGAACACAAACGAAAAAGGACACTAGCCTTAAATAAAGAATCCAGACAGAGATGTATTTTACCTTGACTTTAATAAGCATTTTGAAATTTTGTGTTTTAAGTTGTAGTGGTAGATAATAAGTTAAATATAAGTAGCAGAAGGGAATTTGTAACTTTTTCTTAGTAGATCTGTATAGAAATAGATGCTTTCTTTAAGAATCACGTGAAGAATAATAATGCTAAATTGGATGTGGCTTATATTACATTATATAAATAGACAGAAAAAATTTTAGCTTCGCTTTATTCTTTTGGCGTGTTTGCAAAGAGGAAACAATAATAGCGAAGCCCTTTGCTAACAAAGCAACTAGCTACTGGACGGACGAATATCACAACTTTATTATATGTATAATAAATATAAACAGGAAAAAGTCGAAATTCGCGAGAACCATTTGGAGTGGTGGTTTTTTTGAATGAATCACGAGAGACGAAACAAAAATACTCTTATCAAAAAGTGGATGCATTAAAGAGTGTCAAAGCGAATAGCAACAACAGAAACATGAACAACCTTTCTATTGCTAATAATAATAATAATGATAAGAATGGAGTTGTCCATGAAAATAATATCAATAACGATACTATACATTCACAACCAATAAAGATATTGATAATACCAGAACCGCTTCATCAACAATACCCACAAGAACATTTCTCTCCAACTACAATAGCAGCAACAACGGAAACAACAACAACAGCAGCAGCAACAATCATTACCAATCATCATCATCATCATCATCATCATAATAATAGTAGTAATAGTATTAATATTAATAGTAGTAGTAGTATTAGTAATAGTAATGATAATAATACTATTACTAATATTAATAATCATAATCATAATCATAATCATAATCATAGTAATGCTCATAATCATGATCATAATACAAAAATCATCAGCACCGATATATCACAATCTCCTTGTGCAAGTAAGCGAGAAAAGGCAAAGTCATTATCCATATCAGAGAACGGATCAGATCACGGAGTTAGAACAGCAGATCTTTCACCATCGCATCAAACGAATTCTAATAATTTTAATATCAATATTTTTAATAGTAATAGTAACGTTAAAAAGATCAACAAAAAAAGTAACATTATTGGATTTGTATGTCCATTTCCAAATTGCAATAAATCATTTACAAGACTGTATAATTTGAAGTCACACCAAAAAACGCATACCGACGAACGGCCATTCAGATGTGATTATTGTTCGATGGCATTCTCGCGAAACCACGATCTGAAACGACACATGAAAATTCATTTAAATGCTAAACCGTTCAAATGTCTCGGATGCTCGAAATTATTTTCAAGGTAAAAGTCTCTATTATTAATTTGTTAAACGTGTTCTGACATACTCAAACATACGCACATATGTATATATGATTGCATAGATTGGATGCTATCAAACGACACAAAGCAAATCCAAAAAGTCGAGAAGCTTGTCGTGATACTGTGGTGGCTAAAGTGTGATCGTATCAATTTCTCTTAATTTTCATGTTGTTTGTAATATATAGAATTAATTTCCTCTCGAGAATTTTCAATGAAAAGAAAATCAGGCATTCATCTTATCATAATCAACCTCCCTCCCTCACATACACACACACACACACACACACAAACACAACCACAAATCAAAGGTCATGTCGTCCATATTTTCATGTGCTCTTTCTTTTTCAAAGATTACTATCGAATATAAATATAAATTGTAAATTCATGTGTACACATTTTTAAAATATCTTTAATCACCCTTCCCATAAACAAGATGATTTGGTGGCTTGTTTGTTTCATCGATATCGTGCTATAATTAATACTATTTAAATAATACAGGCTAATAATTTGTCTGAAAACACGAATAATCAAAGTAAAATATTTACCTATTTCTAATATTATTATGAATTATTATTATTATTATTACTTTTGTTGTCGACCAAACGATCAACTGTTAAATCCGGCGGCATCGGAACATCGCTAAAATCATCTTGCTTGATTGCAAACATTGAATAAGAATCTAAGCATGCATGTAGAAAAAATGAATATGTAAACAGAATTAAAGAATACAAAAAACTATTTTTAAATACACATTAATTATATATATGGCATTTTCCCCAAAAAAGGATACACACAGCACCAACAAATCCTAATAAAAAGATTCCAGTCACAGCATTTCGAACTCGTAGTGGTCTTCGTGCACGCTCAAGTGCCGGTGTGAAAGTATATGTCTTAGTTTGATATTTTGATGGTTGAGTTAGCATAGTAAAATAACAATGAAAAATTTCTGTTCACACCATTCGAAAATTTGTACGCTCATGTGACTCCTGAGATCGCGTTAGTGGTTGGATTCGAATAAATAATTTTTATTCGAATATTCGTAACAAAGATATTCTTTTATTCGAATAATCTTCATTAAACCCAACAAATAACACTCGAAGATCGATTATTCTTCTCGAATAATCAATTGTCATGTGAAAAAAAGCATCAGATTGGCTATTCAAAAAGTCGTGGCGCTACAAATGAAAATTAACAGTGGCGATCATAATTAATGCAAAAAAATAATAGATAATAGGGTTTATTCGTTAGTAACGTTTTTAGTTAATAAAAATTAAATACGTAAATTATATATTTATTCAATAAGAACGAATACAATATATAAAGTCGAATTTTTTTGTCTATTAGAGAATAATCGAGATATTCGTCATCATCTGCCATTTGAATTGAATAAGACAGTATTCGAATCATTATTCAAAGAATTAATCTTCAAAGAATCTAAATATATATTCGAATATTTCTTTATTCACGAATATTCGAATAAGCTTTATTCGAATACAACCATTAGATCGCGTAAAAAGTAAGGTTCAAATATACATTTCCATATCAAGAATTTATCCACAAATGCGTTCACAAGCAGGTCCTCATTCGTGTCTAACTTGTCATGTTCTTTCGTCCTCTTCACCGTTCAATCGATTCACACCTTTTCTAACAAAATGCTGTAATCGATGGGTTTGCAATAAATGCCTACAGGACAATCCACGGTTCTTCAATTACTGTCCTTTCTGTCATCGAGCTTCTGATATTCTATCGTCATCTTCCAGGGATGTTATCAATAATGTTAATATTGAATCGTTGAACGAAGAATCGAACCAAGAAAGAGAATTGGTCGCACTCTGCAAGGGTAGCGATGATCTTCCGTTATATCAGGAGATATTTACAGATGATGATGGTAATCAGACAAATTTGCCTACTTATGATGATGTTTTGCGAGGGTTAGATTCCACTGAACAACAGCAACAGCAAGATGAAAAGAAACAAAAATTAACAAATGATGAAAAAAGTGAATATGGTGTGATACATTATGTGAGAAAAGAAGATACATTGCCCGGATTGGCGTTCAAATATGGAATTGGTGTATGTGTCAAATAATACAAATATTTATATCATATATCTAAAAATACTAATAATCCATATATAAAAAAGATTTCGGATATTCGAAGGGCAAATCGACTATTTGATGATAACATTTTTGCGCGAACAAGTTTGATTATCCCAAATTATTTTGGGCCATCACTGTCTGAGAAGCAATCGAAAGAGGATGGTACTTTAATGATATTTTCTTTTTATTTGTCCTCTTTTGATGTAGATTGTCATTTTAAATGTTTTAAATTCATTTTGTTTCCAAAAGAACTTAAAACCCTAATCAAACGGTTTCAACTTCGTTCAAAATGTGTTGATCCGACAGAAGCAAAATACTACATGGAACAATCAAACTACAATATAGATGCTGCAACACAGGCATATCGTGATGATGTGCTATGGGAAATGCAACATCCAAGACAAGAAAAGGGAATTTTTGGTAGTAGGAGTAGAAAAAGTCTAGATAATCAGAATTTAAGAAAGAAAAAAATCGAGTAAATAAATATTTATTGATTTATGATAGAAAAGGAAAGAATTTTCTCGTTATAAACTAATACATGTCTACATCCATTTTATTGAACGTAAGTTTATTTAAAACAAGTAGACTTTCCTGGAGATAATTAGAATAAATCAGGAAAATAGTTATGTTGCTAGCGCAGGCAGAATGCATCTCCTTTCTGGTTATTTAACTACAAATTAAATATAGTTTTATTAGTGGCACCAGCTTTTAAAGTTCTGATTTTTCTCAGATTGCTTTTTTTATATCTTCCGAATTGACAATATTCCGGGTACAGGGAAAATCCAGCAAGTCCACTGCATAGGCTTATCTTTTATATATTGTCTAGCGATAATTTAACATTCTCATGCATGACACTTCAAATCCCCTTTTTATTTAATTCAAATCTCTATTATCTAAAGGATACATGCACAAACTTTATCGAGAAACCCACCAAATTATTATTAATTTTAGTTGGATGACATTATTTTTTATTACACGATGTGAAATCGGTTTCAAAACGCACAATTTTTTTGTGTTTTTGTAAATTAATTTGTGATTGTGGTGGTTATGGTTATGGTGGTTGTAGTGGTTGTGGTTGTCAATAAAAATAAATTGTAATCAACAAATAAATAAAGTAATCCAGGAAGAAAATATCACGAAACTAATGAATGAATCAAGGAAGGTAGGTGATCAGTATATAGTTTCGAAGATTAGTGTGAATTTAGCGCGTAAATGACAGTATAATTAAAAAATACTATGTAAAAAATATTATTCTGCTTCTATCATGTTAAGTTCAATATAAAGAGTGTTGTTTATAAAAGAGAGAAAGCGTTAATTATTAATTAATAATTAAAAATACATGAAAAAATAAATTAATTAAAATAATGAATAAATTAAAAAAAAATAAAGACCAACTAGTTCATTATTGTATATGCTTTTTTATTCTACTAAACATTATAAAGGAATTTCCTCTCGTTTATGTAGAAAGTCTAAAAAGAAAATTATGAAGATAAAAAAAGAACCTGAGAACCTTCCAGTGGTATTAAATTGGCCAGCAGGTTCTAATAAGTTTTTTTGTACACGTGCTCTATGGTTGCTTTAAATAGTATATTTATTAATGTCATTAATTTGGCACGGTACCTGCCTGCCTAACGTGTTTATTCTCGCTCAACTGGTCGTTCTTTATTGGGATGATAATACTGGTGGTGTCGGTGGTGGTGTTAAATTTAGAGTTTCCCTAATCTGATCGATTACACTTTGGTTATGTGCTGCATTCGGAGTTTTATGTACGTTTGTCGTATTTATTTTTGTTTGTGCAGCGGTCTGTTGATTATACGAAACAAGTGTGGGGTTTGGCGTGGTTGATACTGAAGGAGCAGGTGAAGAGAAATTTGATGAAGAACCTAAATAATGTGATTCAGATACTTTTCGAACTTCATTCAAAGCAGCCATCATATCTTCATATTCTTCAGTTTGACGTTTTCCATTAACTTCCTCGCCATTACTACGATCAGGTAATCGACTCCATCTTGAATCAACATAATCATCATCGGTTGTTGGACTCGATATAGATTCCAAATCTCTATGAGAAATATCCCATTGAGATTTCAATATATCCAATTCATTGGCTAATGAATCCAAAGCACCACTACTTCGTGGACTGCTATCTCGCATATCATCTTCAATTTCTCGATATGTATCTACTGCATGTTCCATTTGATCAAGTAGTATGGCAATTTTATTCTCAGCTTCTCGCCATTTTTGTTCGAGTTCAGTGTTTTCTTTTTCAAGCTTTGATTTTTGACCATGGGATTCAGAAATTTCACGTTCAAGTTTCACGCGATGCTCTTCCCATCGATTACGTTCAAGACGAGCAGAATCCGGAACATTTATAATTATGTTGCCATCTTTTCCTATTGCCGCTTTTAATTCTTGATTTAATGTTAATACATCATCCAATTCAGTTTGAGCAGATACCAATGCTTCATTTAATCGAACAACATGCGATTCCGAATTTTTAACTTGCTCTTGAAGTTGTGCATCCATTTTTCGAAGTCCATCATGTTCCTTACGTAATACTTCATATTCTTTACGCAAAACTTCGTATTCTGCATCCATCATATTTCTCTCGTCAGTGGCTCGTTCAAGTTGTGCTTGTAATCCATTAATTTCTTGTTGGAAAGCTTCTTTTTCCCTTATGAAATCCTTTCGTTGTTCTTCGAGTCGAGCAGTTGCATATTCTTGAAGTTTTGATTCTCGAACTCCTTTTCTTACTGATATATTTGCTTCCATTTCCGCCAATTTTTCTTCTAAATCTTCATTTTTTTCTTGAATAACCCTCGATTTCTCGTTGATTTTCACATTTTCTTTTTTGGCTCTTGTCAACTCTTCTTTCATACGTCGTAACATCTTTTCGGTACCTTTTACATAATGTACGGCCGTTTGATAATCAGCTTCCACTTGTTTTAATCGCTCGCGAGTTTCCATTAATTTTCGATCGACATCGCCGCCACTTTCATTGCTGCTTCGCTTATCGTCGAATTCTATTTGTGGATCATTAGGATGATTTGAACCGGCACTACTGGATCGATCTATTTCTTCGAAAAACCTTATCTTTTCTCCATCATCTTTTCTTTTCTGAAGTAATCTGTTATAGTCATTCTCAAGTTCACAGTATTTTGACTCTAATTCTTTATAGCGAATGGTCATACCTTTGCCACCTGCGCCATCATCTAATATTCCTTTTTCTGACATTACATCCCTCATCATTCCCACCTTTACTTCTGCATCTTCGAGTAATCTCGATTTGTCTAATAATTCGTGTTCTCTTTCACTTACTCGATCTTTTAGTCTCGCCATTTCGTCTAAAGCTTCGGCTAATTTTCGTTGTAGAGCTGCAGTTTCTGATCTTACTTTCATGCTAGCAGCCTCCATCTGTGAAATTTTTATCATTGCTTCGGAGAGTGAATCTGATGCAACTTTTGCATTAGATTGTGTTTCGGTTTGCAATGTTTTAAGTGAGGCGACTTCTTCTTGTAATTGAGTGATTTTTGCTGCAGCTTCGGATGGATCATCCGTAAACCCCAAAGCCGCAGATCTGGTTGTGTTTAATAATTCGGTCATGCCTTCTTGCATCATTATACGCACGGCATCAACCTCTTTTTGAGATTTTCCCAATAATCGTTCGTTATCTTCTGCTCTTGCCTTTGCACGATCCAAATCTCGCATTTTTATATCTAATTCTGCACGAAGACCAGCAGCTTCTTTTTCCAATTTTGTAATGTCTTGGCGTGCTTCTCGCCATAATGTTTCTGCTTCTTTAGCACGTTCATTGGCGGCAATAAGTGCATTATTAGCGGTTTCAAGTGCTCGTTGATGTTGTTCAAGAGATTGTTGAAGATTATTAACTTGACTTCGTGAACTTGAACTTTCCGTGCGGCATTGCACTAATTCTGAATTTACTTCAGCTAATCGAGAATTTAGGTCTCGTATTTGATTCTCAGCAGTTGTAGCACGTGAATGTAGATTAGCCAAATCTGCTAATGCTGCTGCGTGTGCTTCTTCTGCTTCCTCAGCACGCGCTGTTGCAGTTTTAGCACGTTCTTCGGCAGATTCACGTGAAGCCTTTTCATGATTTGAGGACTGTTGATATTGAATCAATTTCGATTCGAGGGATTCTTTCTCTGTTAATGCCTGCGTTAAACGTTTTTCAAGGTCTCGCGCTCTTTCAACTTCTATTGCAGCAAGTTCTGACTCTGATGCATTAGTCAATGCTGTTAATTTCGCTTTAAAATACGCGGCTTCCTGAAGTGCGGCCGTACGTGCACGTTCAGACTCTGCGATCCTTTGAGAAGCTGCTTGTGCTTGATTTGCAATCGAAGCCTGATATTTTTTTTAGTATAATAAAGTTAATAATTAGTATTGATTTGGCTTAATATATATTCTTTTTATTAGTTTCGACAATATACCTTTGCTTTTTTTAATTCTTGCTTTATTTTAATGATAGCCTGCAAAACTTTTTGTCTCTCTGAACCATCATCACCAAGTTCCATCAATTGATCCATATCAATTCCTTCTGGCATTATATTATCTCTGTCTGTTTCCGGTGTATATCCTGACTTTCTTGCTAAAGCCAATTCAATTTTCAACCAATTTTCACGTTTCTGAAGTTTTGATATTAAATTGTCCCGACCAGCAAGCTCCTTCAATAGACTGTCACGCTCTTGACTCACTACTGGAGCTGGAAAACGCTCCAATTGCAGATCATCCTCAAAAGTTATTATTGGGGATCTAATTGTATTAATGCTACTAGTTTCACTTGATGACAGAGGTGATAATGAACCACCACCATATAATATACTATTAGATGGTAATTGAGTTGTTATGGCTAATGGTGATGATAACGCTGGATTAGGTGTGGTGCCAAAAGGGGAACTACGTCCGGTCGATGGAATCACATTTATAGGAGGATGAGGAGCCTGTCGAGGATGTTGATAATCATTTAATCTAGAATCGGAATCATGACTTACAAGCGTTGGTATCTTTTCTACTGGCGTGATATGCGATCCTTTTACACCAACACTATTATTTTCATCAAAACTCTCTACACTATGGTGTCTCTGAATATTTCTTCCACCTTCGTATTCAGGATTTGCTGATTGTCCAGGAGATTGAGGCGATGTACTTTTTTCAGTAACACGAAATAAATCCGGATGAGGATTGGCATTCTTCATGCCAATGTTATTCTGAATTTGAGGGTTTCTTGATGGCACCCCATTTATATCAATATCTGTTTGAGATCTTTGAGCTGGACCAGTATATGGGCGTTTTGGATATCCAGGAGAACGTGGACTTACTATTTCTTGAGGTGGTAATACTTGAAATGGTAATAGAGGTGATGGAGATGAATATGCTATATTATTATTAAATTCTAAAGGTGGTCGAGGCGAATTCTGGGGAGGCGTATTTTCTGATCCCCTATAGAGCGGTGAAGATTGTCGCGGAAATCCATCCGTACCAAACAAAAGAGGTGATCCTTGTCTTGAAGGTGATTGACCCTGAGATTCTGAGCTATTAATTGATCGGGGTGATGGTTGAGACCTTCCATCGTATGAGTTAGACAATTCAGGGCGTATTTGACGTTGATAAAATGCATCACCTTCGTAAATTATTTGTTGTGGTTGTTGATTATTCATTTTAACCGATTTTCTGATAGGACCAGAGGATTGATTAACGACACCAGCATTTCCACCAGCACCACGAATTATTTCTGATGATGGACTTCGAGATTGAAAACTCGTCGGAGAAAGTGGCTCTCGAATTCCCTGTTCCATGCTTCCTCTTTCAAGGACTGGTGCTGGCGATGAATATACATTATTTTGATATTGTTGTTGCTGCTGCAATTGTGGTGGTCTTTGTTGTTGCTGCTGCAATTGTGGTGGTCTTTGTTGCTGCTGCTGCAACTGTGGTGGTGTTCTTTGTTGATGCTGCGATTGTGATGGTCTTGAAGTTGAATCATTAGGATATTTGATTTTTGCTAATAATAAATTACAAGTTTAAAATAATATCAATTAATATTCATAAAAACTTTTCAACAAAAACATTATTGTGTTAGTAAAAAATAGTATTTGATCTTGACATACAAGTATCCAGAACGTGTATTGAGAATTCCTCATCTGGTTTACATGATTGATTAGAATCACCACCCAACACGAAAACTTTTTCCCGTGATGCAGCCATAGCAAGTGCGAATCGTGGACTAGGTGATGGACCCATTTTCTGAAACATGTACCATCGATAATCTATTAAAGAGGCAAGATTCTAATTTATAAATTATTTTCATATGAAAATCGATTCTTTATATGGATTGAAATTATATACGAGAACTCACTGCTTATTCGAAATGCGGCAAGGTCAAATAATTCATCTTGATTATTATTTCGGCCACCAAAAATATACATAACATCATCTACGAGACAAGCTCCGTGTTTCTCGCGTCCAAGAGGAATATAGCCAATACATTCTAACTTACTCCATATATTGTTACGAATGTCATAACACCATGTATCATTATAACATTGATCGCCATCCGTGCCACCAAATATGTATATTCTATTCTCGTATGCACATGCGATGTGTCCAGCTCGACCATCAGGCGGATCATTTATAGGTACAATTGGATCCCAATGTGGTGTGGAGGAATTTACTTTTATAATTATGATATTTATCGAAATATTCGATTAACGAATCAATATCATTTCATGGTAATTCATTAAAATTAAAAAATCACTAACGTGTTGTCATATCAAGAGCCACTAAATCATTCAAATAATAATTATCCACCTGGCCACCAAAAATATACATTGTCGTGCCAACAACTGTTGCTGTATGACCGAAACGGCCAATCGGTTTATTAACAAATATATTTGGTTTAGTCCATTCTTTTGATACTATCATGTTTTGATTTGATAATAGAAAATTTATTATTAGGTTTATTATAGGTTTTAACTTACAAAGTATTAAAAAATAAGAGTTGTACCTGTATTCAGTATATAGAGACTATCATCTGGTTTCTCTTCGGAATTTAAAGATATCCCTCCCCATACTAATAGGATAATTATTAAGAATCAATTATTTTATATTTGAATTTTAAAATTAAATCTAAATCACCACTACTAACCAATCATATGCTCTCCTATATTAACGTGGGTATGTTCACTTCGAGGTGGAGGTATTGTCCCCGTTGTTGTTATAGAGCTAACTTTAAGTGAATCTGCAATAAATTTATTTAATTTTTTAAGATGAGTGAAAGAAGAAATTTAATAATATAAATCACCATAAATAAACGGTGGATGGGATTTTGATGATCAAATTCCATCCCCCAAATGCTAAATACCGTTACGTCTGAACGAATGGAAAAGATTAAACTTACTAGCATCTACCAAAAAGACGTCATTCTTTGCCTTTCCTTGCGAAATTCCACCGAAAAGATAAATATCATTATTTTGTGCGTTCTGACTAGCAGAGTGCCCGAATCTCGGAAACGGGTTTAGATTTTCAAGTTTTTTCTGTGACCATGGATATGCGTTGTTATTTTGATGTTTTTTAGTCTTGCCTGGGAGAAATGACATGATTGATTGTTCTTTTCTTTTTTGCTCTTTCTCTCTTTGGTTATTGGTAAATTTGTTCTCTTTTTATATATCAAAATATTTCAAAGTCATGTATGCGGGATGTAATGATTTGGGAAGTAAGGGATTTATTTAGTTCGGGAAAGAGAGTTTATTTAAATCAATTTGGTTCTCTGACTAGAGAAGGAATTAATGAGTAATATATTTTGCGAGAACTTTGTAATTTATGTCCCGTTTATTATCACGTTGAAGATGAGAATGTGCTGTAAGACGATTCCTCGATCGCTGTTTTTTTTTGTTCCGAAATAATATATTTTATTTTCGGGAGACAGACAGACAACAAAAAGCGTCAAAGTTTACTATTGGACAAAAAATATAAAAATCTGTATAATTAAAAAAGTATATAAACTGCAGGATTCTAAAAACTACAATCGTATTGGGGCAAGTACCTAGATGACTACATCGATGGATTCTCGGCCACACATGCACACACAATCTCAACAGAATATTTCAATTTCAATTTTATTTGCAAATCATATATTAATTAAATATTGATTGTGAATATGTTCCAACATCGATATTGGTGTTGAGCCTTGTGTATCTATACTTTGATGCAAAACTTGATACGTGACTCTATAGCTTTTTATAGGGTGCCACCGTGTTTTCTCTTTCTTAGGCTACCACCTTTCAAGAGTTAGGCACCATGTCCGTGGGTAAAGAGTATAGTTTTAGTTTGAAAAAATCTCGGTCTCTCCCGATAAATATTTCTATAAATATTTCCAATCATTCGTGCTTGCTTGCTGGTTTCACGTGAAAACACTGTGAATTCTCAAACCATCCTTCCCATTGAGAGCAAATCTAAAAATGAAAGATATTTAAGTATCAGGAATCATTACAATCTTAAAAATTCATTCATTCACTTCACTTGTCCTAAATTCGAGCACCAATTTTGTGTTTCTCTAACTCACAGTGGTGCTCCCAAAGCGTGTCACGAGATGAAGACGAGAAAAATGACATTCGGATTACACCAATTAAAAATTTGAATTCACGATTCGGCAGCAAATATTAGTTCATGTATATTGTTATTCATTTATAATAAAATACTATTCTTGTTATTCTATACATAAATAATATTTTAAGATTACCTTCCCGTTTCCCAACATAATTATCAAATTTAACTTTGCGAAACCGTTTTGCTCAGATGAGTGTTAAAAGCAGAGGATAGTTAAATAGACCTGAAACGAGAATAGCAAAATGCCTGTCAAAACATCTCAAATAGAAAAACAAGCGGATTGATTCCACGACTGATTTAACTCCAGCCGAAAATTTGTCAGAACTAAATCTTTATGGAGTCAAATTAGCCCATATGTCAAGAAAACTACAAGTCTTCTTATATCACGGTTGGTGTGTGCCCCTTCCAACGCTATTGAACAAAGAGCACTTGTTTTAGTTCTTTTGGTGGCATGATACTTGAATAAAAGTGAAACTTGATATAAGAGGGCAATTTGTTCCGACTATATTCGCGTTGTACATAAGGGTGATCTATAAATTTGAGACGCGTTTACATTATATACAACAAAAAGGTAAAATTATTATATTCATATTTCAAGGGAAAAAAAGTTGATAAAGAGAATGAAGGCAAAACAGTATAGTCGGGTCCAAAAGTGGGGATAATTATCGTTAATGATAAAAATTCTTAATATTTTTGGATTCGGTCATATCCACTTTACGTAGTTGTATTGATGTGCAGAAGAAATCGTCTAAACCGAAGATCGCGTCACATGAAATTCAGTAGTTGACCGTGGTTCTACTCTGAGGTAATAAAAAAAGGTAAAACGCTTCGCGTTTTGATCTATTTACAAGTAGTCCAAAAAGTAATTATCAATTACGCGCGGCTTCTATTTTGTCGCGTCGTTGAAAGGAATTTTACATAATTAGCGCCATATCAAAAATTTCCGAATTAGCGCATGTAATTCGAATTTTATTGAGAGCATCCAAGTTCTGTATTTGATTAAATCTAATGTGAAATTAATTATAGTTCACTTAATAATGTAATGAGATAAAATGATGTATAGTATTTTAGTCAAATACTCTTAAGGTTATATTTTCAATAGAGAAAAGAACATTTTTCTCTTGTGCAATCATTGTTTAACCTCATTCAAACTATTAATTCCTTTCATGGAAGGATATTAAAAAGAATGTCAATATTTCTCTTTTTATCACTAATATAATAATATATTAGAAAAAATATAATTGTGATAAAAGTGGTTAAGAAAAAAAGGTAAACTAATATGTCAACAAGTACAAACATTGGTTTTTTAAAAGTTTCTCTTGTTCTTGTATGCACAAATCAGAAAAATTAAAAGAATGAAGTATGTTATGATTTTTGTGAATGAAGGAAAAAAGGGAGCGCTAAAATAAACATGATGTAGATTTGGTGAATGCCGCCGGCAAAAATGGTCTTTCGTCGTCAGGATATGGCAGTGAACCAAGGGATATTGAGCTAATTTATTATTTTACTTTGTTAATTGAAAATACTCTCTAATAAATGGTAATTTAAAAATAATAATAATACCTTCGTCGAACTTTGGATCGTTTTCTATAATAGTAATATTAAAGTGATAAACATAATGGAATAATGACAATAATAAATATATTTATGAAAATGAGCTTCAATTAATTACTCACTGTCGTTCGATTCTAAGAGGAAAGAGAGATCCTAGAGAAGCTCTCAGTTAGTTGTTCCACTTGACCTTCATTTAATATCGATGGTGATTCAACATCTTCCAGATTCTCTTCTGTATTTGCCCCTTTTTGAATTTGTAAAATAGGTTCTTTACCTTTGGGTATAGGTTCCACATCCTCTTCGTCTCCTTCTTCGTCCGTAACTTCCATATCGTCCAATTCACCGAGAGCTTCGGGAAACCCATGAAGTTCTAAAGCCATGCTGACCTTTTTGATGGATGCGTCCTCAGCTAAGACTTTATTGCCATTCAATTCGAGAGAACTTAAATTTTTGAGATGGGAAGAGATTGCAGATGCCAGTATATCGATTCCTTTCTTGTCAATTTCGTTGTACTGAAGATTCAGAGTATGGAGTTTAGTATTATGTCCCAATAAGAGAGCTTCTGCGACAACAATACCACCCTCTTCACTTAACAAACAATCTCCGATATTTAGTAACTTTAGATTAGGCCAATTCGGAAGAGCCTGCGCAAATGCGCGGGAACCAGTATCGGTAAATGTGTTATCCTGTAAATCGAGTATTTCCAAATTCTTACAAGCAGCAAACCCTTGCGAAAAAGTAATAATTCCGTCAGGCCGGATACCATTTTGTGGCATTATGATTTCTACTAAATTCCCATGTGCTGCAATGGCGTTAGCAAGCGTTTTGCTCGAATCATTCTCCAGCCGATTTCTACCCATAACAATTGTTCTGAGCGGTGATGAATGATTCTCTTTAGTATTAATTTGTGCTGCTTCAAGTAATGCTTTTCCAATAATGTTGCCACCACGTGGACCAAGACCGACATTGTTGATTTTAAGAACTTGAAACCATCTATTATGAACAAGAAAATCAACCATGGGTTCGGCACCAGCAGGTCCAAAGGCATTATCACTAAAGTTTACTTCAACAAGTTTTTCTTTGTCAATTAATGCATCACATAAAGCTTTTACACCGGGAGGAACTTCTTCGCGAAGCCGACCAGTAAAGATGTCTGCCGCATTCAAAATCTAAATATCAAATATTTTGCATGAGTTTGTATAAAATTTATTTTTATATAATGCAGAATAACTCTTAAAACAGAAAAGATCATACTAGCCATCTTAGCAAAAGTAAACAAAAATTTCAAATTCAACTTGGTTCAGGGTATAAAGAAACCATTTATTTTACCTTAAGCTCCGTTTTTTCTTTTAATGCACGACCAATAGCTTGAGCAGCTTCAACTCCAAAGGTATTCCCGCTCAACACTACTTCTTCAAGGTCTTTTGCTCCAATTATTGTATCGACGAACTCTTGAACATCTTGGGTAGTATCCAATTTTAAACCTCTACCCGCGACGCTAAAAACCTTGCCGGCAGTATCGAGAGTCATTACTTTCTTTTCAGGGAAACGGGTCAAAAACAATGAAATATAGGCAGAATTCAGTGATAAATGATCAGATTTACATGTGACTTTAATATTTATTAAATTCTATCACTATTAGGACTATTACATGCAAATCATGTCAAAGGATACTTTATTGGATTTATTCTGAAAATTTGACCGTTTTGCCCTGAGCCAATAACATTCTCTTTAGTAACTTCTTTAGCATGAACAAGAGCAACCAGATATTCGTTACATCGAACGCGTTGTAATTTACTTTTTTGCATAATCTCTTCAAATTTACTATCAAATATAGAAATTATATGTCAAGTAAGGAATCCATAATAAATCGCAGTCCATAAAGAGAAACAAAAGGAAATAAATGATCCAACTTACAGCCCTTTTGGATTTGCGAATAGTCGTCTAAGTAAATCTTCTACATTTGTCCTATGTGGCTATGTTTTTGAATGAAAAATACATTCATTAGATATTATATTATGGTTTTTGATGGATTACATCTTTCTATTATTTATACCTGTTGTTCACGATACTTCAACGGTAATCCTTCGATTACTCTTTTAATAAAATTCTACATAACAAATAAATAAATTAATTAATAAAGAATAATAATAATAATAATAATAATAATAATAATAATAACAATAATAATAATAATAATAATAATAATAATAATAATAATAATAATAATAATAATAATAATAATATCATCGTCATCATCATCATAGTCTCATCACCTTCATAGGAATTGAATTTGATTGTTTCTTTATATGTAGTGGAGCAAGTACTGGTGGTGGTATTTTAGTAGGTGTTGGAATGGGCGTTGATTCGGGTGATTGAATATTTTTTATAAGTGAAGTAGGAAATTGAAAATGTTTAACAGAGGATGAAGTGAGTTGTGCCTTAGCGAGCGTTTTACGTGACGATTTGAAAGGGGATTTGCGTGGCGACTTGAACGGAGATTTTCTGGGTGTCCCCACTAATAACATATAGATATTAGATCAACATTGTAAAATAATAGCCTCAATATTTATAAAACTACTACGAAGAGCCAAGTTATTTTTACGAATTTTTTTAAGCACACAACTAAAATAAATATAGCAATTGTTCTTAATATCATCCAAAAGAGCTTTTTATAACTAATTCTCATGTTCAATAATTCCCTCGAATTTAAAGAATTTACAGCCACTTCTTTCTGAACTAAGCGCAAATGTCATCACTGTCAGACTTGCCCACTTGGAATTTGAAACTGAAACGAGGCATTATTCTTTAACTGACTGTCCCAGACATGCTGACTACGTCAAAAATATGATTACAGGTGCTTCCCAAGCCGATGAGTGGTTGCGGCCACAGATGGAACAATGCCACAAACGATCGTAAAAATCTGTCAACTTTATATCTTCAAGACATTTTTAATAAGAAAGTCGCTTTAAAATATAATAATTTTTACCTTTTTTATTTGTATATCTAGAGAAAGCTTCCTTTATCGGTGCCTTCAATATATAAGATTTCAAATATAACTTCATTTTCCAAAATGTTTCATAATACTCTTCCATATAACCAAATACACACCTCACTAAACTCTATACAATTGGCATTCATTTTCAATCCATATAGAAAAGCCGAAAAAGACTCATTAAATTCAGCAAACGAGTCATGAACTACCTGCAATTCTTCGAAATTTTTTTGTAAAGTTTCGAATGACGAGGCAAGTTGAGAAATGGGTTCTTTTAAGCAATCCGTAGGTGAGTTCTCATTTACAGGAGCAGGTTGTCCTCTTAGTGCAATTGATTTACGTCTTTGTGCCTGCTCTGTACGCCTTGATAATGTAAAATTCATCTTTTAGAGGAAATGTAAACGCGTCCCACCCTTACACCGTTGTGATTTTCAGAATTTTGTAGCCATACCACATGATTTGTTAAATGTAGAATTGATTGCTGATCAAAACTATATATTTATTAGTCAATTTTCTTTAATTATTTCTATTATTTCTTCTAGTTATAGATTTGTTGGCAGTTCGGTGTGCAAGAGATTCTCTGGTAATTAGTCAAGACCGGCACCCGGACCTGCAATATAACCAAATGCATTCTATTTATTAGCGGTCTAAAGTGAAACCTTGTAAATAATGATAGTAATGCTTCAATTAATATTTATTAAGTGGTCATTTAAATGTTTTCTTGCCAATTTCGCAACTTTTATGACTACAAACATTGGAGTTATTATCATTTGTTCTCTTGCGATTGTTATTTCACATTCATCTCCTTTTGTACGAATACAGTTTTCTTTTATTAAAATTTTAAGTTAGGTAAGTTTCTTTTTATGATACCTTGGAAATCATAAAGATCAAAAACATATAAATATCCATTTAAAACTTTTATATTTTTCATAATTATCAAATTATTATCATTTTTTATTTTCTTATAATATCATCTATTAATTTTGAAAAGATTCACTGGAAATTCAACAATTAGCAATGGAATTACAAATAAATATTGTTCTGAATATCAACTTATTATCAATTATAATGAATCTTGTTTCATTCTTGCTTTATCACTTTATGAAAAATTACACAATAATGATAATAACAAAAATAATAATATAGTACCATTAACTGAATTCAAAAGTTGTATTATTAATAAAATTATTGATACTATAATTAATTCAGAACAAACTGAGATATCACCAACATATTTTTCTGATAAAACTTTATTATTATTCTATGTTGATATATTTAGAGCTAAAAATACACAAAAATTGCTCTTTACTTTAAAATCAAAAGAATTTTACATAATTTAACAACTAAATTAACCATTATACAATTATAACTGAAGCAAAATACTTATTTAAGAAGAATATTTCTTTATATAATATAATTATTAAACATTACCCGCTTTAAGAATATATAATTATTTTAAAAACTTCTCTAAAAAATTAAATTATAAAAAGATCAATGAATACTTTAAATTGAGTTTAATTGAAAAACTTAACAAATAAAATAGTGATAAACTCAAAGAAAGAATTGTTAGATTATTTAATTAATTTGTAATAAATTCAAAAGAAATAGACTGGATAATATTTTAGTTTAAATTTTATTTTATTATTTTCACTATTAATTTATCTTATTTTATTTTATAATTTTACAATTATTATAAAGGATCATTGTACATAATAATTTTAAATAATTATTTATAATAAATAATCACTTCAAATAATTATTTCAAATGATTATTTCAAGTAATCATTTATTATTTATCAAATAATTATAAATATTATATATATTTTAACTTTAAAAAAATAAATAATTTTGAAAAGAATTTTAGTTTTCTAATTATTTTAATAATTCTTTTAATTAATATTTTGTTATAATTTTTTATCTTAATTATAAAGTTATTATTATTAGTTTTATAATCTCTCATTTTAATTGTGAAGTTATATTTCTTATAATTCTTATAATTGATCTCTTATTATAATTATGAAGTTATAATAATATAATTAAATTAATAAACAAATAAAAATTACTTTATTTATTTACAAATCAAATTTAAAAAGGATATTATTTTTGAATATTTCTAATCTGATTACAAAATGAATATATGTTATCTATTTTTAGTAATTTAATATTTTCTTTTATTTTAAAAGTTATTTATATATAAACTTTTATATTTGATTTAGTTTTATATATTATTTATATATATCCTGTTATAACAAAGTTCAAAATCATATAAAATAATAACAATAATTATTTATTTTTAACTATAAAGTAGTTTACTTTTTTTTAACTAATGCTTTTTGTTCTTTTATCAAATTTTCTGATAATATTAAGTTAATCAAGTAATTAATTGATATCTTTTGATTTATTCAAAAGATTCTTTATTTATATAAAATATTTTATAATTATATTATTATAATATAAGATATATTAGACATATAAAATAAATATGATATAATAGATAATGTTAACATATCTGAGAACTCTGCTATCTCTACAATCTATATTTATGCAAATTATATAGATCCTGTAAATTATGCAAATTATGCAAATTATATAAATTATAAAAATTATAAAAATTTTAAAATTAATTAAATAATAAATAATAATAAATCACATGTAAATTTACATATAAAATCATATGTACAAATCACATGTAGAAATCTCATGTTGAAATCACATATTACAAATAAAAGTCACATGATTTTAAATTCATCCAATAAAAATATAATAAATTAAATAAATAATTAAATTAAAATAAATTTAATTATTAAAAATATTAAATATAATAAAAGTAATTAAATATTAATAAAATAATTATTTTATAAAATATTTGAATTGTAACAACATTCAATAATTTCACTAAAATTTATTAAGTTTATAATTTTATAAAAGTTAAATTTATTAATAAAAATACAAGATAAATTATCCAATAAAATCTAACTAAAAAATTCCTATTACAATATTATAACAACATTCAACAAGAAAAAATAATAATAATAGAAAGATAATAATAAAAAATAAATAAACATAAAATAAATTATAAGATATATTATAATACTAACAAAAATAAAATAAATATTCTTATATAAAGAAAATATGATAAAAAAAATCATTTAACTAATCATCAAAAAATTGAATAGATAATTATTTAACTGATAAATATAGATGAGTAAACAAATAATAAATAAAGATTATCCTATTATCATAAATCATTGCATACAATATTCCCTCGTAGTAGATCCTCCCCCCTCCTCCCTACTGTAATTCTGATCAACATTAAACTCCGACCAAAAAAGTGGAGATCTAATTCAAAATTTCAAGGGCTGAAATGTAACAGACCTGGATTTTTTATACAGTGATTTATGATAATACCGTAATTTACAGTTTAGAATACCCCGGATATATTACATTCCACCAGCTAAAATTCGATTTGTACCCGGGAGAGTCACTGTACGGCAGGAGGGTATATTATATGGGGATATTCTATATAAAAATAATAGTTTCAGCCAGAATTAGCCTATATTTGACGGAGATATGTTACATTCTACTCATTTTGTAAACCATGCATTGATCGAGTACAATTCATGTGGGGTATGATATTATAGGGGATATTCTAAATGGCAAATTACGGTAATATATGAGAATTATTTTCATATACAAATAAAAACAAGAACAATAGACAAAAAAGAAAAACAAAGTAAAATATGACTAAATTGGAAATAATTTAAATGCACGGTGATTCACCGTACCACTTTGTTCTGTCCGATATTCGCGATTATTGAGAATTCTCAGAACAGATCCCGGAAGGGCGAAAATCACATGATCTGACTTTTTTTTCGCCATCACTTTGTTACTAGCTTAAAAAATGCCGCCAAAAATTATTGATATCGTTACGCCGGTCTGATTAACGGTTAAATACACATAATTCAAGCTTTTTACATAAAAAATTAACCGCAAAAACTACGTGGGAATAAAAATTTTGCTAGATGCTAGTAGGGATTGAAGCTGCTAAAATATTAACTGACTGTTGAATCATTGGCTTAATTTTTAGATATATATACATTACCATACTTGAGTTATATTAGATTGAGTTTTTGAAAACTTTGGGAATGTAAGTAAATTATAATATTTAAGATAGTTTTTAATTTTGCTAAGCACAAGTAATATAGGACTGACGATTCAAAGCCTATAAATGTCATTAATTAAATATTTTATAAATAAATTTTCGGTTTTCATATCGATATCTTAAATAAATTTTTTTACTATAGCCCGACCACTATGCAATGATATTGCATTATATAATGATATCGATGTTTTGGATTATGTTCCGACTTTGGACGATGCAAGAAACTTACGAAGTCACGGTTTTATACACACCTTGATCCAAACCTATTTAGGACCATTTAGGTTTGAGCTTGGGCTAAATATTTTGGTTTAGCCCGAATCAACTAATCGTAACACACCGAATAACGATAATATATCTATAGCCATAAATGGGAATTAGAATAAAATTATCGAAAATTATTGTTATACCAAAGGAATTTTATTAGGGGTTGTCATCGTTATATCGAGCTTTGACTGTAGTTAACTTCAGCGTATAATTTTTCTCGCGTCATTGACATTGTTATTATACCTAAAAAGGTTCATTTTCAATTTTTATGTTCGTATTCATCCACGTTTTTTGGAAAAGTATTAAGTATTAAAATATTATTATGAACATTTATCATTTTCAACATTTATTTCCTTCTTTTAATTTAAAATAATTCGATAATATTGTTCTGATTAAAATGAAATTGTTACCAAAGTGCTCGTCTTATTGAGGCGAATATAATAAGACCAAAATTACAAAAATCTGATCACTGATTATCGAGAAAATAAGTTTCGAAACTTTTCAAAACCTTCAATCGGGAAATGACTTGCCGTTCTTATATATTAGATTTTTGCAAATTTCTCACATTTTTATCTTGCTAGAAATATAGCTATATTTTGCTTCTCTAAAAAATGTTAGTATTCTAGTAAAATTTATATAACAATCTCTACCACCATTATTTTCGCCGGTGACTGTAACTCCAAATAACGAGCTTAGATGAACATCCTCGCTTTTTTTTTCCAACACCTCTTATCGATAACGAACGTAATATAACAGGCAATAGCAAGAAGAAAGAGAATGATAAATATCATCCGCCTATCGATAGCAATGATGCGAAAATCCAATTATTTCACGAAGTACAACAATAACCCCTCCTCTCCGCGAATTATAACAAGAATCCCTCATAAACAAAGTTCTAGAAATCCACGCTTACGAAAATTCCCGCAAAGTCCAACTTTAACAAATTTCCAAAGCACTTTATCGTCATCTTCACAAAGTTCAGCTTCATTTTCATCTCCACAAAATCCAACTTCTCTTCTTCACGAAATCCAACTTTAACTACACTTTCAAAGAGTACAACTTCAGTTTTATCTTCACGGCGTTCTGCTTTAGCTTCAGTTCAACTTCTCTTCTGCCTTCTCAAAATCAAACTTTAACTAATCCTTCATAGAGTACAACTTCAGTTTCATCTTGGTGGAGTTCACTAAATCTGATTTTCACTTTGCCTTCACGAAGTACAATTTTAGCTTTATTTTCACGAAATTCGATTCTCCCTCTTACTTCACGAAGTATAACTTCATCTCTGCGAGATTCTGTTTTAGCTTCATCTCCACAAACGAAAGAATGTATCAAATGTACAGACTTTTGATGACACAGTTAACTCAAATTTCAATCTATTGTCGGCATGAGAACGATATTTGTCAAGTGTATTGCAAACAAAGGAAACATTGGAATTAGATGTCCAAATAAGAATTGCCAAAGTGTAAGGACTGAAGATTATGTCCAGTGTAACGAACTTTGAAAGGTGAGCTTTTTTGGCGAAAACCTATTTAAAAATGGGAGAGTAAAGATATCAGAAATTGTCACTCGTGGCTGCGCTTTTACAATAAATGATTTTTATTGGTGCTTAAATCCCAATTGTGATTCTGGTCAAATTCATTATGAAGGAGGTATTAATTCTAATTCTAATTATTATTATCATATCATATTAATCCACTTATAAAAGATGCTGCACTAATAATGGCATCAATCCTGCTTGATAAAACATGTGCTATCGTTATGCAATTCCAGATGGTTCACTAGATTGTTCACAACCAGCAAATTTCGGTAATGGCCTGACTTCATTTTGGGCTTGGCGGTAAGAAATTTTTTCCATCAAGTAAGTTTGGCAAAATATTATTTGACCGCGTTAATTTCGGCTTGGCTACCCAAACAGGTGAGGACAATAATTTTTTCTTGCTGATGTCTATTTGTTTAAAGCATTAAATTCTTTCACCACGGGCACTAAATCTGCCCGATACCTTATGTCGCACCAGGTTGCACAAAAACCTATAACTTCACAACACACTTTGAAAAAAACCTACATCAGGAAATTCGACCAATAATATTGCCAATCACAGGAAAACTCAATAAATTGTAGTTTTAAGTTTTAACTAGTGCTAGGAATAGAATAGCGACAGTTTATCGATATGAAATTAATCATTATGAATCATATGTTCATATTACTACTTACTGTTCTATTCCACCATATAAATAAATATAGCAATGGCTGACCAAGAATTAGTTGGTCTTTTCCAGTCTATAGGTCTTACACAACAACGTGCTAAAGATACCGCGAAAAACAAAAAACTTGCACCTACATTGAAAAATACTATAACTGAAGCTGGTTTTAACGAAGGTTGTGATAAAAATACCGGCTCTCTTTTGTATACGCTCGCTTCTACCATAACCAAAGATGGAATTGCTCATTTGGGGTATTTGGCGCGTGCTATTAAAGACGAAAGATTGAAAACTGCTGATCAAATTGCAGGTGGGTGTTATATACATTATCTTCTTTATTACTGTTTCTTCCTATAATCGTAAGCATTTTGAATAGCGGCAATAAAGTATGTGGAAAATGTTTCGACTGAAATCAATGAAAAAGAGTTTAATGAAAGTGCTGGAGTTGGTATGTCTTATTTTTTTTAATATAAAAACATTTTTGGAAAATCATATTGAATATACTATGAATCTCTACTATCTGACTCTAATTATAGGTGTGACTGTTACCTCCGATCAAATCAAAGAAGCAATAGCTGAACATATCGAGAAAAATAAGGAATTGCTAATAAAAGATAGATACAAAGTTCTTGGGCCATTACTCGCTCAGGCTAAACAGATTCCTGCATTGCGATGGGCAAATGGAGTAGCAGTCAAAGAAGAATTAGAGAAACAGGTTACGTCTTTAATTGGACCCAAAGATGAAAGGGATGTTGTGGTTAAAGGAAAGGTAAATTTCACTTTTTTATTTTGAATTGGATTTTCCTTCTTCCGCCCAGGCTGCGTGTAAGGATCTCGCCTCCGCGTGGATAACTACGCTCAGCATGGGGCTCCCGCTGGAATTAGTCATTATTGATCAGTCTAATATTTAATAATCACAACTAAATCGTATGTAAATCAAAAAGAAAAAGGAAACAAAACCAGCAAAACCAGCAACACCCATTCAAAAGGATGGCCAGAAAGTGGATTCGTCTACAACAGCAGAAACAAAAAAAGGCACCGTTCCTAACATGTTTTTAGAGGGTGAACTTGGTAAACTTCATAAACCTGGTGGTAATAAACAAATAAAACCAGAATTAATGGAAGAACATTTGAAAGCAACTGGTGGAAGAGTATTTACGCGTTTTCCACCTGAACCAAATGGATATCTTCATATTGGACACGCGAAAGCAATTAACGTGAATTTTGGCTATGCCAAAGCCCATAACGGCGTGTGTTACTTGAGGTTCGATTGCTTATTTTTTAAATAAAAGTGTAATTAATATCTGTCCACTAAAATTCTTTAAACTTTTGCTATGTTAGATATGATGATACGAATCCCGAAGGTATTGTAAAAATCATTTGTAAAATTTGATTCATATTTTCGTGCCTTATAATTGTTTTACTGAATTCTTTATAGCCGAGGAGGAAAGATATTTCACCTCAATCAAAGAAGCTGTAGAATGGCTTGGATTCACTCCATGGAAAATAACTTATTCATCGGATTATTTTGACAAATTATACGAGCTCGCAGTGGAACTAATCAAACGCGATAAAGCATATGTTTGTTGTTGTACTCCAGAAGAAATGCATGAGATGCGAGGTGGAGATAATGGTGGAGCTCGAAGTGAATGTGTCCATCGAAATCGACCAATCGAAGAGTCATTAGTTGATTTCCAAAAGATGAAAGAAGGGCGATTCAAAGAAGGTGAAGTGACACTTCGTATGAAAATGGACATGCAGAGTGGTAGCCCACAATTCTGGGATTTGGTTGCATATAGAGTCATGTACACTCCACACCACAGAACTGGAGACAAATGGTGTATATACCCAACATACGATTATACACACTGTCTATGTGACTCCTTTGAAAATATTTCTCATTCATTGTGTACTCTTGAATTCCGAATGTCTCGTGAATCTTATTATTGGCTCTGTGACGCGTTGGAAGTGTATAAACCTGTTCAATTTGAATATAACAGGTTAGCTTTCTTTTACTTGTTATTTATTGATCATCACGATTTATTATATTTTCTAAACTGTTGTATAGGTTGAATATCAATAATACTGTCATGTCAAAACGCAAAATTGCAAAATTAGTCAACGAAAAATATGTCTCAGGATGGGATGATCCTCGTCTATATACACTTCCTGCATTGCGTCGGCGTGGAGTCCCTCCAGAAGCAATAAACGGATTTGTTCAAGATCTCGGCGTGACTTTATCTAATTCAACAATTCAGGTGTCTCGTTTTGATAAATATATTCGGGATTATTTGGATGTCCATGTTCCACGTCTTATGATTATTTTGGAGCCACTTAAATTGATAATTGAAAATCTGCCCGAAAATTTTGAACAAGAATTAACGATCCCATTTAAACCAAGAGATTCCTCGATGGGCGAAGTGAGTCATTTAACAACAATGGATACTACTAAATTTAGATTTTTACTACCTACTTGTTTATTTTTGATATTTATTAGCATCATGTTCCATTCGGCAAAATTGTCTATATCGACAAATCAGATTTTCGTGAACAAGACTCCCCTGATTATTTCCGTCTTGCTGTTGGAAAAACGGTTGGCTTGTTACATGTGCCACATCCTATAACATGCATTGATGTCAAGAAAGATGAACAGGGTAACATTCAACATCTAATATGTCGATATGAAAATGCACCTGACACCAAAAAACCAAAGACTTATATTCAATGGATATCCGAGTCTAAAAAATACAAATCCCCAGTAAGACTCTCTGAAGTGCGTATCTATAATAACCTTTTCTTATCGGAAAATCCAGCCGCACATCCCGATGGATTTTTGGCCGATATTAATCTCAACAGTTTAGAAATTTTCGAGGATTCATTGGCTGAAGTGGGCATTCGTGAGGTGACAAATCGCTCCATAGAGCAGATAAAGCAAAAAGAATACGAGTGTGTAAGATTCCAAGCAATTCGAGTCGGATATTTTTGTCTGGATAAAGATACTAAACTAGAGGCGCCAACCTCGGAAGAAAAGAGTCATCATTTTGTGTTGAATAGAATTGTTACTTTGAAAGAAGATCCAAAGAAAAATTAATTATTCATGTTTTTGTTTCTAATGTAATGTGCTTTAACTATTGACAGTTAACTGTAATACCAAGAATCTAGAACATGATAAAGTTTTATCGGTTTGCAATATTTTTTTATAATTTTGGATATAATTACAACCAACTGCTTTTGTTACCCATTATTTTGTTACCCATTACTTTAATCCATTCTAACACATGATAGTATAATATAATATAATATAATAACAATGAATATAGATATAAAAAGATGATAAAAATGATATATATCTACACAAATAAATACAAGTTTAACGAGTTTTTTTAATTTCTAATACAATCATAATCACACCTTTGGGACACGGTGAATTTTAAAAAATGTGCTTATAGAGAGGGTGCTTAATAGTGACAGAGATTTCCAAGCATATGTGTGATTATTAGGAGGTTTTTTAGATGATGTGATTACAAGGGGTGTGATTATATAGGGTATGACTGCTGTAAAGAAATTTGAGACGTGTCAATGACACAGTCAAAATATTAACTGAACGGATAAGAGAAATAAAAATAATTGATAATTCAATGAAAGAAATGACGCCGTTCACCATCATTCAAGGAGTTGTACTTGCTCTTAAAGGGCCATATAAAATCCTTTCCTACGACAAAAATTGAAAAATTTAGCACTTATAGACAACGAAATCAGGGAAGAAATAAATTAAACAAATAACTTACAAAACTTCTGAAGAAGCTTCTACGATGACGTTCACGTGGAATATTTCTCGTTAATTCGGTTACTCTCTTTCTTGCAATTTCGTGACCTTGTTCTGCAGCTCTTCCATACCATTCCAGAGCTTTCTCAATATCTTTAATAGTTCCTCGACCATATTCGTAGCACACACCAACTCGACATTGTGCAGTAGCGTATCCTTTTTCCGCAGACCTTTTGAAACATTCAAAAGCTTTATTTGGGTCTGAAGATGTTCCGAATCCAATATCATAACACCACCCGACGTTGTTTATTGCAGATACACATCCTTTATTGGCAGCACTTTTGAAACAATCAAACGCTTTATGAGGATCTTTTCCGATGCCTATTCCTTTATAGTAACACCATCCGAGATATATTTCCGAGCGTACATCTCCCAAATCTGCTGCTCTTTGATAACTTTGGAAAGCGAGTTCTGGATTTCGTGATTTTCCAACACCATGTTCACTCATAAATCCGATAGCAAAGTAAGTGTCTTGTGTTGGATATTTCTCCATTAAGAACAAATTAAGTAATTCATATGCTACAATTCTTTTCGCATCGGCCAATTGAACGAGTCTTCTTGACATTACATCGTCAGTCACTTTTTCCCATTCAGTGAGAATATTTAACGCATCTTCAATAATTTTTTCTTCGGGATTTTTTGCCACGAAGATTCCGGATTCAGGTGTCTTTGGTGTCCTTGGTGTCCTTGGTGAACTCACCAAGGTAGCTTGAGATTCACTATCAGTGGTACCGCCTGATGAAGGTGGTGATCGCAACCTTGGAGGTTCTTGGATTGATTGGGGAGCTTCAACAATACTTTTTTGTAGAAATGTCTTTATGCTTGGTCTTATTGCTTTCTCTTGACGTAGGTCTGATTTATTTTGAATATAACTACTGTTATCTTGTATTAATTTTTCCTGTGATACAATATTCTCTTTTTCAAGATATCCGTCAATTTCTTTTTCACTAGGAACTGAACTTTCAATTGTAGTTGACGTTGACACTATTCGACTATGATCAGATACGCAACTATCTATATTATTATCGGAAAAGTCTGGATCTGTTCCTTTGTGTGACGAGTCATCTTCATCATCAGAGTAAAAGTCAATGCGCAGGCTTTCAGTGTCTACATCATCCGGATGATGATCTTAATAATAACAACAAAAGATTTAGTTATAATTAATATTAAAATTATTATATATTTGTTATTCTATGTTATTTACCATCATCGTCATCATAGAGATATTCCAATTCAAGACTAACAGTAGTAAGTTCCTTTCTTTCTTGAGGATTATATTGTATTAATTCGAATATCAGTTGAGAAAAAGCCTCGGGCGTGGCTTTTGGCAATTGTTTCATTAACCGTAAGGTAGATTGTGGTGATCGTTTCTCTTCTTTTATTTCATCATCATCCTTACCATCATATGGATGATCTCCGTCTAGGGCCACTATAAAAATTATCACATACATTCGATTATCATTGACAATGAGTTATAAATATAAAAAGTTTTTCGTGCAACGTAATTATTACCTGACCATAGAATTAACCCATACGAATAGACATCCGATAATTTAGGGAATCTATAATTAAATTATTACGTAAGTGAATGAATAAAAAAACGTTATAACAAAACGCTGATTTTTAAGAACACAAACATACTTTTCAAAAAATGTTCGCATCTTTTCTTCACGACAAACGCGTTCAGGCGCCACGTAATTTAACGTTCCACCCGCCTTATTATTATCCAGAACCATTCGGGTTCTCGTTTTCGAGACTCCGAAATCCGCCAATTTCGGTACACAGGAAGCACTCAATAGCACATTCTCGGGTTTCAAATCGAAATGCAGCACATTTAAATTATGACAATGTATTAATCCGAGTGCGATATCACGACAAACTTTTGCTTTCCATTCCCAGGTGACTGTATTAACTTTTAGATAATTAGATAGATTGCCATTTGGTGCGTATTCCAGCACTAGTGAATATATATGTTTTTCCTCTCGTACAACTCCATAGAATTTTAAAAGATTATGATGGTTTTGTAGTCTAAAGTAATTGCTGTATTCTTTTAAAAGTACATCTATATCACGCTAAGCCATATTCAATTGATTAATTAATTAAGAGTATTATTATCATTATTGAAATTTTATCGGAATGTAAGTTTTCATAAACGGTAATAATATATCTAAAATACCTGACTTCTCTTTATTACAACTTGTTTTCCTTGATAGGTTCCCAAATGAACTTCACCCATTGCGCCACGCCCAATAACAATTGACGGCGAAGACATTTGGAGTTTTTCTTTTCTTATCGAGACTTTTTTTGAATTAAACATTTTGGCATGAATTTACCATCTATTTTAAGCGTATTAGTATTTTCTATTTCTTTGGTTTAGGTAATTAACTTGGTTCTATTGCATTTGCTTTTATTCTACATAAGAAAGGGAGGACGAAACAGGGGAGGAAAGAGGAGGAAAAGATGTGTGTAGGACAAAATGAGGTTATCGCAAAAATGAGAAATGGATAAAAAAAGATTAGGATAAATTGTATTGGCTGATAATTCAGTAAGGAGGAAGATGAAATCGACTAACCATTTATCGAGTTATTTGCTGCTAATTGAGAATTATGACATATATAAATAGTATAGATGGACGCGTGGGTATACCTCCTTTTTCACACTGAAAAAGCGTAAAAAAAACGCAATAGAAAAAATGTTGATTGACGCAATCTCACTTTGATGTTGATTCTTCTGTTACGCAAACGTTGTTATTATATGCAAGATGTGTAAATAACAATCCTTTTTCTATTAATGATTCAAATTCGCATGAAACTTCAATTCATACCGATACTCTTCACGGAAAATATAAATGCACGCATACAAAATTATACATTAAATCTAGTCTTCGAAAGGAAACTTTGAAAGGAAACTTTCATCACTTTGTCGTATTCACCATCGAAAACAATTGGCGAATCCTATCGTTATTCCCTCATAAATTAAAACGTCATTATTTATCGTTATGGTGTACTGCAAAATTTCCGCTGCACTGACATATGAGCAAATTAGATTCTACTGTGCTGAAATATTGCAAATTATAATTTGACTGTCGAACTTGCCGAACTGAATTATAATCCACCTGTAGATATCTTTTAATGTTTGGATTAGTTTAGTGCTGGTCGGCATGAAGCATAATGCGAAGCATATAACTTTCGAAAAAAATCGTCTTTACCAAAAATGGGGATGCGCTAAAACGTTGTGAACACGTGACCTATGTTTATTACAATTAAAGGTTGATTTTACCGTTAGGATAAGGGTTAGGTTAAGGGTGAAAGTTATATGTAAAATGCCTCCCTGACATTTTTAATTAGTACTCCAAGAATACGTTTTTCGTATTTTTTTTTCGTTCTTGCTTCGGATTTGTTTTTCCAGGCTGATAAAAAAATTTACGCATTCTTATTAGATTGTGTTTCGGACAGACCATCGGACTTGCAACGTTTTAGCGCATCCCCAAAATAAACATATAGTAGTTTATTAGCAATATTGAAAACTTATCCACCCGCCAAAAGAAGGCGCTGGTGCTGGAATTGCACTAAACCCTGAATAACATAACCTGTAAACTTAGAAGGTACGCAAAACGAGAAAGAAGGTAATTTTTTTTAAATGAATATAATTAAAAATCTATTTTGTTTCAGTTGCGTTGATTATTAAAAGGAAAAAAGGTAAATTCCCGTCACAGCGTGATGACAAGGCTTATATTTAATCATAAGCAATGCAACGTTTTCATTTAAAGAATATAAAGAAACCAAAAGTGGGATGATTAGTGATCATCGGTAATTCGCATTACTAAATAAATAGAGCATTTACCAAAAGACTACACTCTGTTCTACCACTACGGAATAAACATGCAAAGGCTTAGTCATAATATTTGGATAAATACAGCTTTTTGGACTTCTGCAGGCACCACGTTAAGCCTGTAAAAAGAAAGCAGTTTATGTAAGCACCAAAAGCAGGTAAACCTTGCGAGTTTTGTAATCTTTAATGTTTATTAAGTTGAAAAACAAATTTTTTGTTTAAAGAGTCAATCTTACAATCTTAAAACTTGTAATTTCTTTAACATTCATACTATAAGAAAAATCAAGTTACTGTACAATTGTATTTCTTTTGTGAATTTAATGTTTGAATATTAGAATTTCGTTATTATTATTATAAAAGTCTAATTGTTCATTAATATTAATATTATAATTAGGATCAGGAATGAAATCAAACAATAATGGCGTAAGAATATCACCATTATATTGGCAATTATCAGAGTCGGAAGAATGGCTGTAGAAAGAAGATTGTTGTTGGCTCGGTAGATTTTTGAAATCGAATAATAAATTTGGCGACGAATATACTATTGGATCTTCATATAGTTGATCAGGAAAGGTCGCAATTACATTGTTTTTGTCATCATTAAGATTCTGTTCTTGATGATGTTGTTCTTTTAATTTTTTTGGTTCATTATTCCAAACAACAGTAGGTTTAAAGTAAGCAGGTGATTCTTCTCTAAACCGTAATTGAGCGTCTCTAGCCAACTTCTTATAATACTGTTTAACTTTCTCTGGCTCTCTTTTCCAACTAATGCCAGCTAATTTTGAGACTTTCGTCTGCGGAATTTTGCTTACACCAATTGTTTTAAGATCATTATTATTACCAAAATCATCATTGTTATTATAACATTGATGATTCGTAGTTGTCTCGGTGGTAGAGATTAACTGTGAAATTGATGAAGGACAAGTTTTCAGAAAATTATCAAATGCCCAACGATACAACATCCATTCGTTTGGTGGTTTTCCACGTCTTGTACTGTTCTTAGTTTTTGCGAGTGTTTTCGTGAGGTAGATTTCAATGTCGAGGTGTGGTGGTGGAAATGGCATTTGAATTGACGGTAGTGATTGATGCATTGAAGGTGAGAATTTTATTTCCTTAGGCATTTTTATTGTGAAATAATTCTAATTGACTATACGTATTGATATAATTTGCTTTGATACTCAAAATTGTACTTGCGAAGAGAAATAAATCATAAAAAACAATTATAGAGAAAATTGCGAAACTTTAACCCACAGGGTTATTTATAACTTATTCATCGGAAATTATTAGCATCAAGCACAACCCTGTTTTCTTCCATCATCTCATATGATTTGCTATGACAGACAATGGACGAGAAAATCTTCACAGCTATTAAAAGAAATCAGTAACATCAATAAATTTCTTGACCCCAAAAGGTAATAAATGAATAGAAAGCCTTGTCAACTATTTTACTATTTTGCTATATTTGAATTCATCAACCAAACCCATATTATAAATTTTCGATTTGTCATAATATAAAAATAGATTTTCAAAAACAGGTATATTTCAAACGGCATAGTGTTATTTTTAGGCTTTTGTACAAACAAAACAAATCATGCGTTTGGATATATTGATATCTTTGGAAATACTTGACAAATCTCAAATCCCAAGTGTTTACTAATATTTAAACAACTACGCAGTTAACTACGTAGTTGAGAGATTAAGGATTTTTTTACTGATTCCTAATATCGATATTTTAAAATTTTTAAAATGCAAATTCCCTCATAAAAAATTATATATATACATTGACAGAGTTTTGATTCTCAAACTAGCTTAGCCAGTTTTGATAAAATCTCATGACATGACGCTATCTGATGACGCCAAGAACTTTCCTTTCATGGCCCAAAAGAATAAGTATGTAAAATTATATTAACATAAAAGGTAAATATTATCGTTATGTAAACTTTATTTAGGTCTGTCTGTGCGTAATCGAAAGAAACTATTCATATATAGTGAAATTATTACTAAGCCACGACAATGACATATACAAAAAGAGAGATAATTGTATATCTCTTGTGAGTGGTGATTTTTTTAATTTTCATGCAAAGCTTAATGTATGCACCTATCCTATTAATAATATGATTATGAATAACATTCAAAATTGCTTTAATTGAAATGTCATCGTATATTACGCTGGTCATGCCCGAGCCACGAATACACCATTCAGATAGAGGAAACCGCAGCAGATATTACAGCTAACGATTCCAGTATCTGAAAAATCCTATAATAGATCACTAAACACATTTTTTATATAGTTACTTCTTTACGAAGAAATGCTCACTCAAAACTACTTTCAAATATCTCTATAACTACAACGATATAAAATTGAAATTAAAGAAAGCTATGTATGATAAAATGTAGTTTTATTTTTAAAAGGTCATCATCAATAAATCAATCATCATTAAATCAATCATCATTGTATAGCATCACACAGTATATATTAAAATCAAATACGAAGATCTTGTACTTCTCGAAAATGTAACACTACAAACTTTAGACGTTAATACCGGAAAAGTGTACAGTACTAATCGACAAGGTTTCGGACAATGACCGAGTATTTAGTACTACTTGGTTTCTTGATCCCGAAATTTAGGTGCCTAAAGGTCATCAACTTAATAATAACGAGAATTCATTTTATGATTCTAATTTCGTGATTTTTTAATTAATTTTTTTTACCAATGGTGCATAGTATCAAAAATGTAAATCAGTCCGAAATTTCGAATGACATTCTTCACGTGATTTAAGAACGTTTATTAATGTTATTGGCTCATTAAATCCGACAAATTTACTCGTAATCTAATTTAACTTCAAGATATTCTCCAGAATTCTTCTATGAAATCTATATTTTTTATCGTATATTTTACTAATATCTTGTTTATAAAGATTTATGTAATACCAACATTTTCTTGAGAATTTTCTAATAATTATTAAGAAGATTTTTAGGAATCATTTTTTGTAATCTCTTAGTTATAATTGGAAATTTTTACAATTTTCAAAAATTTATTATAATTTATATAATTTTCATAATTATTATATTTTTTATATTTTATAATTTTCATTATATTTATTGTATTTATTATATTTATTATACAATCAAACTTCTTTATAGTCATAACTTTTAGACAATATTTCTATGAACTGAACTGAATTGAACTGGACTTTTGTCCAGATTCAAGTCTGGTTCAAAATTCAAATGAACTCAAACCAGACTTTGGTTTGAGTTCAAGAAAGATTCAAAATTCAAATCAAACTCAAACTGAATTATTGTACAAGTTCAAGTCTGATTCAAGTTTGATTTGATATCGATATACAGTATCATAAATTAATTTGTAGTCTTAAACATGAGCTACAACTTTAATTATAAGTACAAATTATAGTATTTACTAAGAATTAAAAGTTTACTTAGTGACAACTAAAATATTTTCATTTTTACGATTATTAAATTTTATTGTAAATCTTATATATCTTTTTAAATATTTATTATTAATAGTAATTATTATATATTAATTTGTAGTTTATATTTCTGGTTATTACTTTGTTTAGAATTATAGTTTATGATTATTATTGAAAAATAAATGTTTATTATAACATAAATAAAGTAAATTAAAATTATAAATAATTAAAAATGTTTTTTAAACCTATATAACTTTTGAATATTCATCCTAAATATTAATTATCTTATATTATTTTGTAGTTCTAGTTATAATTTACAAGTTTATTTAGAACATTTACTTGAACTCAAATCAGATTTTTGGTTTAATTCAAAATTTGAACTAAACTTGAATCAAATTTTTAATTGAATTCAAATTTTTGAATTGAACTTTTGATCAGATTCAAGCTCAAACTAAATCAAACTTTTTTTGAAATTCTACTCTTAGAAAAGAAAATTGAATAATTATAAAAAGATTATAATTATAAAGAGATTTTTTATATATAAATAAAAAAGCAAAATAGAGTAATTATAAAAAAATATAATTATAAGTAGATGTAATTATAAAAAGATTTGAAGATGCTGTTATGACTGAAAATTTATATAATTTTCATAACTTCTATAACTTCTATAATTTTGATAATCATCACAATTACAATAATTACCACAACTTATATAGTATTTATTATTTATCAACTTATATAATTAATTATAAATGTAATATTTATTAGTGAAAAATATT